CTTGCATACTATAGATAGTGATTAATAAGACGTTCCACAAGCCTCCAATCAAATGCTTCACCACCACTGACCTTGAACAAGGCAGAGGAACGGGAAAATTTACTCTACCTTTTGTCAGGCCCTGGACAAGGTTCTGTCCCTCTGCCAGGATTACTAAAATTGTCACTACAAAACTAAATGACCTGGGTTGATTCATTGCTTAGTTGAAGATATTCATGAGTTATTTTAGCTTGTTTTACAATGAAAGAAACCACAGCTCAGAATCGTAGGCTGTATTTCCCAAAGTTCACTGAGTTTCTAAATCAGTACGTCAGTATCAAAACTAGACCAATATGACTCAGGAGAAATCCATTTCAGGAGAACTGGACCAATTCCTAAGCTAGATTATTCTTTCCACCATGATATTCCCTCCACTGGAAGGTAGGGTATCTGGAAAGAGCCTGCACAGAGGACTTGGGAATCACAACTCCCAAGAATGACTTTGAACAAATGGTTCATCCTTGAGTATCAAGATTCCAGATCTAATTTCTACCTTCCTATCTTCCTAGTCATGAAGCACTCACTGCCATTGTTACTCAGTGTCAATGCCAACAGTGGACACTAGGAAGAGAGGGCAAGAAGGAGAGTGCACTGTGTTGAAAACACAGTGGCTGAGTTGACCATCTGGCTGGAGTGGTAAAAGAGAAGGTTGGCTGGTCCTTCACCTTAAAGCCATCCATGCCCAGAAAGCAGCATGGATAAATAGGGTCTCTTCTCTGGAGATCCCTGCTGGGTCCCTGTCTTCATTCCTTTGGTGTGTGTGTGTGTGTGTGTGTGTGTGTGTGTGTGTGTGTTGTGTATGTGTATTGTGGGGGGAGGGGGGTATGAATACATTGTCTTCCACATGCAACTGTCAAAAATCCAACCACAGGAAAACTCCACCTGACAATATCCCATCTCTGCTTTGATTCTATTTGTAGAGGAAATTAATTCTGGGGGGCACAGAGAAGCTGTGGTACTGCTGACTGCAGCTTGGGGTTTCAAAACCTTCACTACTGAGGGATGCCCCTTCCCTCCATGCTGTTTAATCAATGAATCAACAAATAGTCTCTGCGCCAGGCTTCCCCGGGGTCTGCGGGGCACTTCAGATGTGCCTCTCAGACCCAACAGCAGGAGGAAGGAAAACAGAGTTTTTTGGACTACCCTGAAAGTTTCCATTTATAAAACTGAAGCTAACATAAAAGAACATGGGACTCCTGTCTGCCTCTTCTCTCTCTTACCTGAACCTTCATGTTCACAAAGGAAAAGAAAATGCTCCATGACTGAGAGAATACAGGAGTGCTAGAAGGAAGGAAGGGAAGAGAGGGAATGTGGGAGAGTGAGGAAAGGGAAGAAAGGAAAAAAGGAAAAGAGAAGGCAGGAACGGAGAGAGGGAATGAGGGCAGACAGCCAGACACTTAGATTCAGGCCGGTCAAAGAACAGAGTGAACATGTACACAATCCTCAGAAGAAACGTCTCTTTAGTGGAGTGTGACTTCAGTGTTTGCCACCCTGTCGATTATTACTGCCCTTTCCTCATGTGATCACCTTTGAGAACAACCAGTCACCACCAGCTTCTAGCTTTCAGGAAGCTGGAACATCAATGTCACTATGACTGCCTGGAATATTTAAGGACTCTCCCTTCTAAAATAGGGTTGCAGGCAGAATAGGCACGTTGCCTTGATGCCCAGAACATCCAAAATCCTAGATGTGGAAGTGTTCATAAATAATCCGCAGGAACAGAAAAATTACTAAGATCCTACCTCCAGCTTTCAACTGTTCTTTCGACGTGACACTGTGCTCCAAGGGGATTCACATCTCCCAAGTGATGACAAATGCATGCACTGTGCAACTGTCACTAGAATAGGACTGTCTCAGCAGGAAGGTATCCCCTTCAGATCTGATACTTTGGACAAGAGTCTATGCCATCAGCTTGTTCTCCTCTGGCAAGCCCAGGAATGAAACCAGCAAGAATTGGTTGAGATCTGACCATGAGCCAGACACTGTGGGAAATATCATGATCCTAGAATTATCTTACTTGGACCCTTCGCTTGCCCATCGAGATGCATGACTGACCTCAATCTATAGAAAAGAATCTGGTGACCAAAAAAATTCACCTTGACCCAAATCTTGAGCATAACTAGACTCTGACCTCTGTCAGAAATTCCAAAGATGGTGCTTCTCAATTCCTGGAGTCGAATCTTCATTCCTCCTCCTCTTAGACTTGGAGAATCTTTACCAGGAGAAGAACACCATATTTAGTTAGATTTGGGGGACACAGCCAGCCGGGTACTAGAGGTGACACAATTCTGGTGGTATTCGGGGGTCCATGCAGTGCTAGGCTAGAATCCAGTACTCCCACAGAGCTGACTTAGTCCATTGAGTCAGTATTCCAGCCCAAAAACAATGGAATTTTAATTATGATTTACCACCTAAAAACCATCCTGGGACTAAGTTAGAGGTTCCCACACTTATTTGGCTAACAACCAACCCCTTTAAAACAAACAAACAAACAAACAAACCCTCTGCACCTCCCTGGAAATCTACCTTAAACTGAACAAAGAAAGCAGTACCCAGTGACACAAGAGGCCACTACTGCCCACCAGAGGCTACTACTGCCCACCAGTGGGTGCAATCTATCTGTAGGAAGCACTGGACTACTAGGTGTTCTCATAGCTGTTTTGAATTGCTCCCAGTCTCCCCAGGATGAATGTCTCCAGTTTCCTTGAAATAGGAGCACCACCTGAACGCAGACTAATTCAAAATAAAGCATCTGCTAGATCAAAAACTCTTAGGGATAGATGAGGGCACTGACACTCTTACTTCCTCCAGCCCGCCCCTCTGAGTGAACCTCCTGGCCCAACTGGTTCTCCTGTGCCTCCAGGCAGCCCTAGAAAAACAAACACAGGGGACTCTGCTCAACAGGAGGACCTTCTCCAACAGCAAGCAGCACCTATTCAGAAGTGCCCAAGGTGCTCATTGTCCCGGTGTGATCTGCTGTACTACAGCACCCGCATGTTGGAAGTGAGGTTTGGGATGAGTTCAGGACAACTGAACTTAGAGACACAACACATTCGAATACCATCATCCTTGTCTTAAGGTGCCTTAGTTTTCTGCGATAGAGATGCCAGATCCCTTCATCCTTATACCCAAGGCTCGCACGAGGCCCACCCTCCCGACCTGAGTTCAGTATTCTTCCTTTCCCCCAACCTGACAAGTTTCAACATATTTTGTCTCTGATTAAGCAGAGCTGGTATCTATATGCCTGATATCAGGCAAGGTTGAAACCTTCCCACAGGCCCAACATGGTAAGTATTTCTTGGCCAAAGGCACGTTTATGAGAACAATCACTTTTCCGGCCAGGAAACACCTCATCCAGCACCAAGCAGACAGTTCTGGGAGACCCTGGCCAACTCATAGGTGAATGGACTCCTGGGAGTGGCTCAGCCAGGCTCTCCAGAAAACCCACAAGGACAGGAGCCCAAAGAAGGAAAGCAAGTCAAAAGCTCCAGAAACATGGCCAGAGCCTTAGGAAGGGAGAGCAAAGACAACTGGTCGGGGTAGTGCAAAGGAACCGAATGACCTGCTCTGTGGAGGTCATCCCTGGAGGACATCCAGTGCCCAGCAAACATTACTGTGTGAAGGCAGCCTAGTGAGTGCCACACAGATGTCCAGCCTGCTCCTCACTCACGGGTACTTACCCATGGAAAGGCGTGGGTCACCACGCGGGCGCCAGTCTTACCCAGCTTGGCCACCTCCAGGCAAACAGGCCAGGCCCCGCCAAGTTCATGGAGAAACCTACTTGGATGGGTGGGCAATAGGTGAGCCAGGGTACGGGGGAGAAAAAAAAAGGCTTCCCCTTTAAAACGGAGCAGAAGCTGACACCACGTCACGTGACCTTTTACCGTAATTTCTATTAAAATCATTTCATGTCTGGTTGCCTCTGTGCTCCTGGCTCATTTGTATTGTTTACAACAAGTCAGCGCACCGGCAGTTAGTGGTGGCCGAATCCATGGTTACCCGTTTTTACATTCACTAGTTAAATGGAATGCAGCTTGGCTGTGGGTTTCAGGGAGCCAGCTCTTAAGAAACCACAATCCAGCTATCAATCAGGATAATCTGAGAGAAATTAATCTTATAAGCATAAGTATTGGTGAATATTAAAAATTGATAGGAAGGGGGGTCCGGGCTTTTGATTGGTCGAATTCACCAAAGTGGGCGAGCTGAGACTCAGCTTTAGAGACTCCAAGAATTCAGTCTGTGGTTCTCTCTGACAGCACTTCAAAGTGTGCATTGAAAGAGCCATGGGGGAAGCACACGCTGCTCCCCCAACCCCCCCACCCTGCCAAGTTCCTGCCTTCCCTCCCCAAATTTGAGGAGCATTTAATTCACCTGCACATTGGCCGAGGGGAGAGTGTCTAACTCTGCAATTCCAGCAAAGTAACTTAAACAGATACATACAAGACAGCCAGACACCTAATCCACAGCACCAGGGAGGATTCAATTAAGACAAAAACCTCAGTGGAATGCTCTTTAAGAGTCAATTAAAAACTGCAACTAATATGTATTACTGAGACTCAGAATCCTACTCCCTACCCAAGACTGTTATGACACTCCTTCTCTCAGCAGACGCCCCCCCCACCCGCCAGCTGCCCTCCCCGAAGTGAACTTGTTTCTCAAGATGGACAATGACCCACCAGGATTATTCCTAACCCACATGGAGAAGTTTTCCAGCATGCCACTCAGCGTCCTGGCCTCCCAAGTCCCATCTACATGCTCAAAGAGAACAGCAAATAGTTAAAGCTAACAGATTACAACCCCATCTACTGCAAAGTCACTGTATCCGAAGCTTGAATTGATTTGCTTCCTCTGAACGAATTGAAAATGAAGGTAACAGAACGTCGGAAAAATCCCTCCTGCCCTGCTCCTAGACTGCTGTATTATGGCTCTGCCCTGAGGATCGCTGCCTAGATGATACATACCAGCACGTCCTGGGTCCTTCCAAGACTTTGGTGCAGTTTCAAGGACAAATGTCTTAAGGAAGCCTCGGCTCTGTGCAGCAGGCAGCCAGGCTTGGCTCTGTCGGCAGGAGCTCGGTGCCGAAGCTGAGCCGCAGAGGGAAACTTCCTGCGTGGACAGGAGCTCGTGGAAAGTCTCGGGGTTAAAAAGGCTGCTCTGTCTGTCGGGTGGATTGGCTCGCCGGTGGAGACACAGTACCAGCTGATCTCTTTGCAGCCCTGCAGAAAGGAACCTCTCCTGAAAACCAACGGCATCGCATTTCAGCGGAGCCTGTGCCAAGTGCTGGAGAGCAAAGCAACCTTTGACAACTTCACACAATTTGCCCTCCCCAGGCAGCCTGGCCACAGGTCAGGGGAGGGGCGTGCAGTGTCTCCCCACCCACCTGGCTACTCCCAGCCCGCAGATGTGTGGGGTGAGCTCAGCTTCAGAACAGTTCCCCTGCCAGACTCGGACCCCCGTGGAAGGGAGGCCCTGGCCGCGGCTGACAGTGAGTCTCTGCTGCACTGACCTGCCATGGACAGTCTTCCCAGAGTCCAAAATTAAATAAATAAATAAAAGAATCCCATGACGAAAAGATGTTTCCTGCTGCTTCTTACAGAAATGGTCAGATGCCTCCTTGTGTTGGTAGCCCTGATTAGGGTGGGTGTAGTTGAGACACTGCCTCCCAGTTCACATTGGACCAGGACTGGGCAGCTCACTCTGGATTCTGCTTGACCTGTCATAGGCTGCAGCTGGGGGGATACTTTGGTATTATAAATAAACCAGGGGGACAACCGTCATTCTCCCCAGGAGTTCCTCCTCCTATGAAATGGTCAACAAGGGTAGAGGGCAAGCAGGCAATGTAGAACCTAAAAGGCAGCTCATCACAGAGATCCCTGAGTGGAAATTTTAGAAAGTTCTAGACAGAGGTACTGGTGGGGGCTGCTGAGCCAATGGAATCCCAGCTCCTGGATAACCCCTCATGGTCCACCTCTCATTCTGCCCCAGGGTGCAGCCACAGAGCCACGAGGCCAGGTTAGTGCCTCTCAGGAGGTCTTTTCCCCCAACCCTCGTGTACTTTTTCACAGGGCAGAGAAGTGAGAAGCAACAGGTGAGGCAAAGATGACCTGGAGGTATGAGGAGCCACAGGGAAGGGCTGTCCCATATGTCCGTGAGCCACCACCTAGTCAATCCTCCACAGCCTTCACGTTTTCTTCTGTCCACACTCTGGTTCTCAAATGTAAAAATGGCCTGACCCTCCCTAATGCCACAGACCCCTCCCACAGTCTCACTGCAGGAGGACGGAAGTGGCTTGGATCTTGGAACTTCTGTTTTCTCGTAGGCACAAGGAGTGCGCCCTCTTCCCCAGAAAGGCTGACAGGACTTAGAGCTCAGAGTAGCGCTTAGAGCTACATTCAGGACAGGCCTCAGCCTCAGGCCTCAAGTCTGCGGAGACCTGAACCCCACTCCACAGACCCTGCATGGTCCTTTACTCCCTCCCCCCACTCCCCGGTCAAGAGCACAGAAAGAGGTTCAAACATTTGGTCTCTCCAGGCCTTCGGAACCTGAGAGGAACAGTCAGGCCCTCGTGGAATAGGGGAATGATCTGCTTCAGAGGTCAGGGTCTTCACTGGGCTCCAGCAAAGATCTCTGTGGAAATTTGGCATGGGGTATTCTATTTTACATGTGGAAATTTGGCATGGGGTATTCTATTTTACATAAGGTGCTACTGTTACTTAAACAGATCTGCACACATGTATTTGTATGTATGTGTGTGTGCATGTGCTTATATGTGTGTGGGTATGTTTGATCTTTCTACACAGGGTAGATTAGAACCCTAAAGCGAGAGAGTATGTCTCAAAATTACTTTCTGTTTTCTGGTAGATCTCTAGCATTGTGCTCACCAGACAACACATTTCATGACTTCACCTACATTGAAAAGGAATTCAGGTGGGGGGGGCACAGTGGGTAAGGCGTTTGCCTTGCACATGGCCAACCCGGGTTCGATTCCCAGCATCCCATATGGTCCCCTGAGCACCCCCAAGAGTAATTTCTGAGCGCAAAGCCAGGAGTAACCCCTGTGCATCGCTGGGTGTGACCCAAAAGGAAAAAAGAAACTCAAGCAGAGTCCATTTTGCTTCTGCTGATCATTTTCAGAGGAAGTAAAAATTCAACAAATAATGGCTTTTTGTGGCTTTTCAGTGTTCATGCTCTCTCTGCCTTCAATGACTTCCAAATAATTAAAAAAGTGTCAAAGGTGACTATTTTTTTAACATGAGCTCGTAATTAAGCCACCCAAGATGATCTTCCATTGTTTGGCATATATGCTGTGCATTTTGGTAAGAGTGATTAAATATTTACTTTTCAGTTCAGACTTGACCCCCAAGGACCCTCCGGATTTCTCGGTCTGCCAGAATTCCAAGGCTTAACAGGGTAGAATTCTGTCAAACATAGTTTTGTTCATCAGAGTACACAGCCAATCTTAGGTAGAATCCAAGCAGACTTGGGGTCTGCTTCTTACAAATACATCATTCATATAGAAACAGCCCAAATTTATTAAACTTTTCTTCATCTTTTACTTCATTTTAAAATTTAAAACATAGACCATTTCTATGGGGGGGGGGGGGAATTGGCTAGACTTTATCAGTGAATCATATATAAATATAAAAACATTCTTGAAAGAGATCTACATAATATCTAGAAGTTGGAGTCCAACCAATGTATTACTTTAGTTAGTTCTGTTATATCCTGGAAATCTTTTCTTAATGAAATTTATATCATAATTTATAAGTATTTGCTGCCAAACAAGGGATCTTTCAACCTTAACAAAAGTCCAAGAAAATTAGATATTACTTTCGCCCTTAATAAAATTACAGGTGAAAGTAATATAATGACAGGTAATATTTGGGACATTGAAAACCATGACTGAGTGTTTCTAAAGCCATCATGTGCTTATTTGGACAAGCTGTGGCCATCTGTAAGGAAAAGTATGTCCTCATACTGACATCGTGCAAACATCAGAATGCACACTCTGACCAGCATCAGCCACATTCAGCTGGCCAGTTCAGTACGACTTCCTACTTCCTCCCCAAATCATGGAATAGCAAATCACCAAGCACAATTTTGAGAACACAGTGGCAAAGAATCATCACTACCCAAGACCGTTGAGGGCAAAGCAGACTGGTATCAGCCCTGGGGAAGGTCGGGCCTGGTCAGGCTAAAAAATGACCAGAGTAAAGAGTCTAGATTTGTTTTTAAGATCCTGAGACTCACTCAATTCTTACAAGCACCTTAAAAACAGGTGTTTTCACCATCCACATGTTCACAAATAAGAACAATGTCTAGACTATCATCATTTCACAAGATCCCATGAGCAAGAAATAAACTGGTGAAAATGCAAATGGAATCATGCTCTCTCCTAGTTTCAAAGCAAATCCAGAGGAACCCCACATCACAGCCTCCCCTTCCCTCTCCTCTTTTCGGTTTCACATCACAAAGCTCAGCCCAATTAAAGAATGGACTATCTTACACCCACAGTCTCATGTCCACACAGCGGCCTCAAGCTCACACACACGCTCTCACATACTCATGCCTTTTTCTTCAGTGGCTTTTTAATCTTTTCCTCCCACAACCCGCTCAGCGATTTCAGGGAGTAGTTTCTCTCCATTTTCCCTCATGCTCCCACTTCTCAGCGAACTGTAGTGTCAGAACCCAAATCTGATCAGAGAGGATAAAGCCAGAAGCACTACTACTGCCCACTCTCCTAAGACAAGGGAAAGCCTCATACATTGCAATAAACTTCTACAACTCCTGAAGGTTTCTAAAAATCCCTTCCAGTTCTTTGAAATTGTTTGGATCTGTCATTTTAACTTCTGCTGACACATACATTCTCTTTGGCATTGAAGCTCCTCCGGGAACTAGGTGCATGATAAACTATCACCCCTTTTATAAAATGGTCATTGTGTTATGCTTATTACTAGGATCATAATGGAAGTGGTTTTTCACATTATTTTCTACCCCCAATCTATTTCACTCCAATAATTAACATAGACTTTTATGGTCTAGCCTAGGAAAGTCATCAGCCTTTAAGATTGTTTTTTGCAAAGAGAAAAGTATTTTGAATATCTAATAACTGATGTACAAATGAAAGAATGTATTGTAAACTTGGATGTTTGTTTCTCATGAGGCATCTGTTTCAAACCACTGAGCCCAAACTCATTTACTATTTGACAAACTAATATTTCTATTGATGGTATGAGGCCAAACTTAAATAATTAGTTTGTAGAATAGAAATAAACAGAAGCAGAATTAATTGGTTGACTCACTCTTAAGTGATCACTTAATTCCCCATCACAGAAGGAGAGGAAGCTGGAGACCATCTAGTCAAACACCTTCTTTGGCTTAGGAAATTAAAAAACAAGGCTCTGATGTTTGCAGTCCATAGGTTAGTAAACTGCTTAACTCTGAAGGTGACAAAGCCAAAGGGTTCAACAAGTATTATGTTTTATTTCTGCAACCTTTAGAAAATAAATAGTAACACTAAGAACAGTAATTTTCAATGACCAAATTAAACAACCAACTTGGGATTTCGTTCCCACACACAGTAACTTGGGAATATACACAGCCTCTGTTTACAACCTATTTCCTATGGGTAGCACAGCCCTAAAACCGCAGTTTCTAAGAGAGATAACTCACATATTTCCTGATTTATGTTTGAAAATATATAGGGCGTGAATGTTTTCTCTAACCTTCTGTTTTCTTCAAGAATACTGGTAGACAGAAGGAAGAGCCCAAAAATCATTTTTTGGCTCCTATAATAAAAAGATGTGATAAGCAATTATACATCTTCCACCATCACAAAAAAAAAAGTCACCAGATTTTTCCCCATTCATAGAGGAAAGAAGAGAAAGAGAAGTAAAGGGATGGAAGAAATTCTGGTGAAAGAATCTTTTTTCATAAAAATGTTTACTCTGTGAAAACTGATTGCCCGTTGAATAAGAAAATACAGTAAATATTCTTCCAAAGAACAGCTTATGGATAATATATGGTTATAACCTGTAACGCACCATACAAATGTTACCTATTCTCATTGTTAGTATTTAACATATATGGAAATTTGCTTCACAATCTATAATTGTGTTAATAAAACCAGGTATTTGTGAATATAAATTATATTGGCCATAAAATCAGCCTTATTAATCTAATATATCTTCGGGTGAGAAAAAATGTAAATGCGGCACTCTGGGAACACAGATATCTTAAAAATATGGTTGGTTTCACCTGCTACATAACTATCTATTAGAACAGAAACACCAAAGTTTTGTTCTTCTTCAGAAGAAGTTGGCATCCTGAATTTGAGTCATTAGAACAATAAAAATAACTGTC